GAGGAGGAGGAGGAGGAGGAGGAGGAGTCAGTGTGTACGCCCCCTTGCTTCACCATGGGGGCACTGTGTGCCCCAGGACGGCTAGGGTGCCGTTCCTGGGAGCTTCAATCTATAATAAGTGAAGGCATATCCCTCAGTCCAATTCAAGGGCAAGATATATTGGAAGGTGCCTCAACGGAGCTGAGAGCAAGATGGAACATGACTTCTGATCAGACCTCACTTTCCGACACTCCGGCGCCCCGCCCCGCACCCGCAGCACCCTAGACGGTGCCCAAGTGTAGGCGTGCTTCGTGCTTTGTCGCTGGTATATCCCTGGTCGAGAACTGGCCGAATCTAGATTCATCCTACTGAATCCAGTCGCTGAATCCTGCTTCATCCCGCTGAATCCTGTCCAGTTCGGCTCAATATCGGGCTTACTCTGGCCTGGTCCCACCCAGTGGCCCCTGACTCAGTCCCTTAATCGTTCCGACGAAGACCTCCCAGGAGTTGCCTCCCAAGGACGGGCCTGGCCAGGACAGGCGAGGCGGACAGGCGACGCACCCCGAGAGGAGGCGAAATACTGCAAGACGATCGACGAGAAGGTGCCGAAGCTCTCCATGCTCCTGCAGCAGTGGAAGCACGCGCGGCCGGTGCTGCTCACCCAGGTCGCGGGCCGCTTGGAGCGCCGCCTCGCGGCTCCAGAGGACGATCTTGCGCAGGAGATGACGCACGACCTGGAGATGAACTTCAACAAGATTGCGCCCTTCGGCCATCGAGCAACAACAAACATGGCATACCCATAATGTTTCGGATGTTCTTTGTTCGGATGTCCGCGCGGATATCAGGGACATTATGTATATGCATTTGTTTGTTCTGTGTTCTTCTAGGCAAGGAGGACACCGCCAAGGAGCTGCAGGACCACGCGGCCAAGACGCAGGACACGCTCGTGGACGCGGTGGAGAACGCCGAGGTGGCCGAAATCAAGCGCGCCGTCTTCCGCGCGCTCACGCGGCTGCGCGCAGCCACCATCAAGGAGTTTGACACCATCGCCCGCCTGGAGACCCAGGCCTGGCGGCCCGCACCCGGGGGAAACGCGAGGGGGGGGCCTGCACGGAAGTCAGGAGCCCACTCTGACAAGGGATCTCAGAGGAAGAGAAGAAACAGGGGATACCCATGCCAAGAAACGTCCTGCTCACCTCCAGGGTGCCCTGGGTTTCTTGTGGGTTTCGATGGTGTTGGCTGTGGAAAGCGCGACGTTCCCACGCCAAAAAAAACAATGGACGTCCTGGGGTCTCAGGGTTCTGTTTCTTGTGAAAGGTTTCTCGTGGTCGAGCCCCTACTGTGCCTATACCGCTACCCGTCCCTCACCGTCACGGCTGGTTTCGCCTCGAAATTCTGACCAGAACGCATTCTCGGAGAGGTCGGTGGAGTAGTGTGGTATGGGTGTCAATTCATTTCCTGAGGATCGGACCCCTGCTGGGGTCAGCGGACCTCGAGATGGCCTCGGCAGCGGGGCCCTTCTGGAAGAGGCCGTCTCGTCGTCCTCCTCCTCTTTCTCCTCCTCCTTCCCCCCCTCCTCCTCCTCGTCTTCCACCTCCTCCTCCTCCTCCTCCTCCTTCTCCTCCTCCTCCTCTTCTCTCCCCTCCCCCTTCCCCCTCCCCCCCCTCCTCCCCCTCCTCCTCCTCCTCTCCTCTTCTCGCCCTCCTCTCCCGTCCTCCTCCTCCTACTCCTCCTCCCTCCTACCTCCTCCTCCTCCTCCTCTCCTCCTCCTCCTCCTCCTCCTCCTCCTCCTCCTCCTCCTCCCCCTCCTCCCCCTCCTCCTCCTCCTCCTCCTCCTCCTTCTCCTCTCCTCCTCCTCCTCTCCTCCTCCTCCTCCTCGTCCTCCTCCTCCTCCTCCTCCTCCTCCTCCTCCTCCTCCTCCTCCTCCTCCACGCCCTGTCCCGACCAGGAGCCGCTCGAAGCGGGCGCCGCAGACCCCTCCCGAGGCCCACCCCGACCAGCCCCGGGTCTCGCTCCAGCAAGGAGCCTCGCCCTCGGCGAGAGGCCTCGCCCCCTCCTCGGCACGCCGGCGGGACGCGGGCGGCAGCCTGCGGAAGAGGCGGGCGGGTGGCGATGGGGTGTGGCACTTTTTGCGGAAGAGGAGGAGGAGGAGGAGGAGGAGGAGGAGGAGGAGGAGGAGGAGGAGGAGGAGGAGGAGGAGGAGGAGGAGGAGGAGGAGGAAGAGGAGGAGGAGGAGGAGGAGGAGGAGGAGGAGGAGGAGGAGGAGGAGGAGGAGAAGCAGCCACAGGGCGCCGTCCTTGGCCCAGGGACCGCGGCCGGCCGGCATGGAGGGCCACCGCTGCGAGGGAGGACGGCCCCAGGCTGCCTGCGAGCCGTGGCCGCCGGTCGGACCCCGGCGGCCAGCGCGGGCGGAGAGTAAGAGAGGTGAGAAGAGGACGGAGAAGGGATCGGGCGGGGGGTAATGGGGGGCTGACCTCCAGGGGGGGCGACCTGAGTGGGGGGTGGTCTAGTGGAGGGGGTGGCCTGCATGGGGGGGGCGAAGAGGACAGGGCCCCGAAGCAGGGGCCCAGGAGGGGCCCTCGAGTGCCCCTGTGGGGGCCTTGTCTCCCCCCCCCATGCAGGCCAAACCCCCCCATGGCCACCCGCCCGAAAGGCCGTGGGCTTCGGCGGGCCCCGCCGGCGGGAGGCCGGCGGGCAATTGGGCACCCAGAAGAAAGTCCGGCGCGCCCGGGAAGGCGAGGTGCGGCGGGATGTGCCGGCAGGTTTGGGGCCTCTATCGTGGCCCTCGCCGTGCCGATCGTGGCGAGCCAACCACACACACCCATACCCATGGAGGAGGAGGAGGAGAAGGAGGAGGAGGAGGAGGAGGAGGAGGAGGAGGAGGAGGAGGAGGAGGAGGAGGAGGAGGAGGAGGAGGAGGAGGAGGAGGAGGAGGAGAGGAGGAAGAGGAGGAGGAGGAGGAGGAGGAGGAGGGAGGAGGAGGAGGAGGAGGAGGAGGAGGAGCAGCCACAGGGCGCCGTCCTTGGCCCAGGGTCCGCGGCCGGCCGGCATGGAGGGCCACCGCTGCGAGGGACAACACACACACACACACCCATACCCATGGAGGGGTCGGAGAGGGCTATGGGTGCGTGTTGTCGGAGGGGGGTCCCCGCTCGAACGGGAGCGTTCCCCGGGGTCCCGCAACCCGCACCCATACCCACAGCCAGTCCTCCTCCCAAGGACCCCCCTATGGGTGTGGGTGTGTGCTGCTCGTTCGTCAGATCGGGAGCGTCAGAGCACGGCTCGGGGCGGAGAAAGGCCGGCCCCTGGTGAGTGTCGGGGGTGGGCAGGCCTCCTGCCCTGGCACGGCGATCCGTGAATTTGGCCGTTTTCGGTTCGCGAGAGGGCGTCGCGGCCGTCATTTCTGCGGGTCCAGGTCCGCCGGTTTTGGTCCCAGGCCGTTTTCACTAAAGGGAGGTTTACTAAAGGGAGGTTTGTCCACCGCCGAAAGTGGTCCGGACCTCCGGGGCCCACGCATCCAAAAGGTTGGAGCGGCCTGATGTCTGGGTAGGCCCACCACGAGATCTTGGACGAACATCTCGTGGCCTCCTTTCTCCTTTGCGCGAAATGGGTTCGTAGAGCGGTTTTGGCCGAGGCTATTTGGTTTGAAGGCATCGGGTTCATGTCCTAAGAGCGCTGTTCTTGTTATTATTATTATTATCATTATTGTTATTATTCTTCTTCTTCTTATTATTATGGTAGGCCTACGGGAGTGCCGGACGGTCGGCCCATGCTCGAGGGAGGCGGCGCGGCGGGGTCACGGTTGCAGCGATCCGATCACGCGCTTCTTGTTGGCCCTGTACACCGACATGGACTTCGGCGAAGCTTTTCTTCTGGGCCAGAGCTCAGCCAGAGGTTAGGGCTCTGGCTCACGGGAGCGGGCTCGGCGAGGAGGAGGGGGAGGAGGAGGAGGAGGCAGCGAATCAGGATGAGGTGGAGGGCGTTGGAAAGATGGAGTGCGATGTGGCGCCGTCGGCACTTTGGTTGCACGCTATCCCCCACCTTGGAGATGGCGTGCGCCGAAGAAGCCCTGGCAGAGAGCTGGCGTGCGAAGGGACCCTCGCAGAAGGATCGCCTCGCAGGGACAGCGTGCTTTTCGGAGGTCGATGCTGCACGCTGGCTTCCCGACGCCAGCCGTAATAGTGAGGCGTCGACATTTCGGGGTCCAGGGTGCCTGGGGTCGACCAGCTGTGCGAGCTGCGTCCATCTCAGTCCGCGAAAGCCCCCCCCCCCCCCCACACACACACACAACGATCACATCAAAACGATCACAACGATGACAACGATCAGAACGACAACGATAACGATCACAACGATCACAACGACAACGATAACAACGATCGTTGTCGTTGTGATCGTTGTGATCGCTGTCTTTGTTATCGTTGTGATCGTTGAGATCGTTTTGATCGTTCTGATCGTTATCGTTGTGATCGATGATCGTTGTGATCGTTGTGATCGTTGTCGGAGCCCCTGACCATGAGCGAAGAAGAGGCAGCCGCCACCGCCGGGCCGAGGGAGCCTCTGGCGCACGCGCAAGGCCGACCTTGACCCCCCCAAGCGGCGATGCTCTGCGCGGCGCACTCGCAAGCCAGCGCAGGTCGCAGGTCTCAGCAGGGGGTTTGGGTCGGCCCTGTGGTGGCGCCTGGGGCGGTTGCCGCAGCTGTCTCGCCTTCGCTCCTGACCTGAAGTTGCGACGCAGCTCCTGGGAGGCTGAGTTCAGCATCGGCACTGGTATGTCCGCGGTCGACAACCGGCACAATCTGGCAGGATCCCGCTAAATCTGGCGTAACCTGTTTAATTTCTTTCTTAATCTGGCTTGATCCCGGGCTTTATCCAGTCTGATGCGGCTCAATGGCCCGTTTCATCGGGTTTAGTAGCTGTCGATCGTTCTCAGGAGTACCTCCCAGGAGTCGCCTCTTGAACACCTGACCTGCAAAGGGGCAAACGCACATTGGTTCCAGGATGCCCCAAAGCGTGCGTGCCGCAAGCAGGCCATCGACGCGTACAACGACGCCCACCATTACCGTGCGGAGAACCCGCTGGCGCACTTGCACGAGGACGAGGCGCCGGTGGAGACGGACAAGCTGAAGTCCTTCCACTGAGAAGGGGGGGGTCCTCCGCGCGCGGTCGGCGGAAGGCAGCCAGGTCCGAGGTCCGAGGAAGGTCTCCGCGGTGCTCATCACCACATCGTGCGCCTGATGCGCAGAAGCTTGCCCCGTCCACGCACGGCCCTCGTGTGCACCGTCGCCGCGTGCTGGGGGGTCGCAGCGGTGTGCAGTCCACACATCAGGGGGGGGGTCGGGGGGCCCGCCTGTGCACGAAGGATCATCGCAAGAGCGGGGGAGGGCCTGCAGATCACACTTGAAAACGGATGCCAGACATGCCACGCGTGCCTTCAAGCAATTTGTGTAATGCAATGAACGTGGCAGAATGGGAAGTGGAAGGGGCGGGCAGTATACGTGATTGGGGGAAAGAAGCTAGGAGGAATCGGGGCGGTTGGAGGCCATGCGGGGCCATCAGAACCCATAATTGTTGACGCTTCGCGTATCCAGAAACGACGTCTAGACGAGCTGCCATGATCTAGGACGTGGGGGATGCATACAGAAAAACACAGGGATGCAGGAACCTGCGTACCCCAAGAGGGGGAAGAAAGAGGAGGAATCGGAGGAGGAGGAAGAGGATGAGGAGGAGGAGGAGCAGGAGGAGGACGAGGAGCAGGAGGACGAGGAGGAGGATAAGGAGGAGGAGGAGGAGGAAATGGGGGAGGGGGAGGAGCAGGAGAAGGAAGGGAAAGAGGAAGATGAGGAGGAGGACGATGAGGAGGGCGAGGAGGAGGGCGAGGAGGAGTGAGGAGGAGGAGAACGTGGCAAAGGAGGAGGAGGAGTAGGAGGAGGAGGACCAGTGTAAACCCAAGAGTCATCACAAATGTTGGAATAAACCTTCCCTCCAAGCTCCCCCTTCATAGGCCCCTACAAGGGATTCATTTCCACTGAGGGAACTGCCTCGTTGGAAGACAACCGCTTGAAGACCCGGAAGCATGCCGAAACATTTCTCTCGGGATTCCAATGCCACGGATCAACCTGATTGTTGCGTCTCTACGATCCAGAATCTTGCCAGGACGCCATTCCTGGGACTTCAACACCGCGAATCAACGTAACTGTTGCACCTTCAGACTCCTGAATCCTTCCGCAACGCAAATTCTGGTACGTTGATCCTGGGAGCCCGTGAAACTCTTGCAGATGTTTGAAACGAATGTGCGCGGCGCTGAGGCGAGAGCCACATTTCGGAAAGGAACCGCCCTCAATCCGTGACGCTCTTACAAGTGTTCAAAACGAATGTGCGTGGCGCGAAAGCCAGAGCCACACTTCGAAATGGAATCCCCTCAATTCGTTAAATTCTCGCAAGTGTTTAAAACGAATGTGCGCGGCGCTAAGGTGAGAGCCAGATTTTGAAAACCACCCGCCCTCAATCAGTGGCACTCTAGCAAATTGTACAACGAATGTGCGCGGCGCTCAGGCGAGAGCCACATTTTGAAAACCACCCGCCATCCATCTGTGAAGATGTTGCTAAACTTTCAGCTTCAGGGTCACAAAGTCTCAGGCGAAGCGCCCGGCCCGCCCTACAAACTGGCCTCGGGGTGCGACAGGGAGAAGTTTTTGATAAGACGAAGGAATGGAGGCGGAGGAGGAGGAGGAGGAGGAGGAGGAGGAGGAGGAGGAAGAGAAGGAGGAGCAGGAGGAGGAGGAGGAGGAGGAGGAGGTTGGGGAGGGGAGGCGACATGGAGGAGGAGGAGGAGGAGGAGGAGGAGGAGCAGGAGGAGGAGGAGGAGGAGGAGGAGGAGGAGGAGGAGGAGGAGGAGAAGAGGAGGAGGAGGAGGAGGAGGGAGGAGGGGAGGAAGGAGGAGGAGGAGGAGGAGGAGGAGGAGGAGGGAGGAGGAGGAGGAGGAGGAGGAGGAGGAGGAGGAGGAGGAGGAGGAGGAGGAGGAGGGAGGGAGGAAGGGGGGGAGGGAGGGAGGAGGAAGGGAGGGAGGGAGGGAGGGAGGGAGGGTGGGAGGGAGGGAGGGAGGGAGGTAAGACTCGACCCAGGAGGGTCATGCATCCGAATTCCCACGGAGGCCCCACGAGCCCCGCGAGACCTCCAGGAGCCTCAGGGACCCCAGCCGAGGCCTCACCGTCCTGAGCGTAGGCCGAGCCTGGGTTTAACCCCAGGCTCTGCCCACGCCGACCTCGTACACGGCGAGCGCCACGCCGCCCTCGGCCTCCTTCAACGGCCGCCCGGCGCCTCGCCTCCGGATCCGCGGGTCTCCGCCCCGGACGCGGCGAAGAGCGCGGTCAGGTCCGCGCCGCGCTGGCCCGCTGCCGTCGCTGGCTCGGCCGTGGCGGCTGAGCGCACGTCGCCGTCGGGACCCCCCAAGACGCAGGGCTCGGCGTTGGAGCTCTCCTCGAGCTCTCCGTACATGAAGCCTGTCGCCCATGGGCCCAGAGGCGGGCGGCCGCGGCATGCGTCCGCCCTCGGCTCCACGGGCTCCGCGTTGGCCAGGCGGCCCTCGATCTCCACCATGCGGTCGTCCGCCGCCTCGATCTCGAGCTGGGCCTGGCCTGCATCGGCGCCTGCGAGGACGACCGCCAATGCCGCCGTGTCAACCCGCGCACGGGCGTCCAGGAGGAGGCGTCGCAGCTCGGCCGCTTGAAAGGCGCTGTCGTCCCCCAGGCCGTCCTGGTCATCCATCTCGCCGTCCACGTCCACGTCCATCTCGCATCTCGCGCAGCTGTGTCTCCACGTCCATCTCGCCGATGTCCTGCCTCGATTCCAGCCGAAGGCCCTTCTGGGCATGCTGGAGCTGCCCCTTGGACGCCATCGCAAAGGAACCGTCACAACGGTGAGCGTGAAGAGCTACTTTTCGGCGGAGTCGATCAACTCCGCTGGGCAGCTTGCCCGCAATAAGCGCTCCCAGCGCATGCAGAACGGCCTGGATCCGATCCCAGACCTCCTGGTTGTCGAAACAGAGGGCGAAGCAATTGAGCAGCTCCTCGTGCTTGCCGCGCACGGCGGTCAACTCGTCGGCAAGCCGCCTGATGGCGCGGTCTGCAGAGGCCTTGGCCCAGTCGCGCTTCGCTTTCACCTCTGCAGCAGAGCGCGATGGACGTGCATCACCCACGTCCTCCCGTAGAACCATCTCCTCAAACAGCCAGTTCCAGACGCCACATGCCGCACGGGAAAATGGAGCACCAGGGGGCTTGAGGCAAGCTTGAGCCAAAATGGCTACGGAGGGGGAGGGAGGAGGAGGAGGACGACGAGAAGGAGAATGAGGGGGATGATGATGGTGATGATGATGCTGATGATGATGATGATGATGATGATGATGGTGATGGTGGTGATGATGATGATGATGGTGATGATGATGACGGACGACGATGATGGTGATGGTGACGATGAGGCTGATCATGATCATGATGATGGTGATGATGATCGCGATCATGACGAGGATGATGATGCCGATGATGATTATGATGATGCTGATGACGATGGTGTTGGTCATGATGCTGATGATGCTGATGCTGATCCTGATACTGATGCTGATGGTGATGATGCTGATGATGCTGATGATGATGCTGATGGTGATGATGCTGATGCTGCTGATGATGCTGCTGCTGATGATGATGATGATGCTCTTGCTGCTGCTGATGATGTTGCTGATGCTGATGATGATGCTGATGATGATGCTGATGATGAGGATGACCATGATACTAATGATTATGATGATGATGCTGATGATGTCGACGATGATGATGATGATGATGCTGATGGTGATGGTGATAGTAATGGTGATGATGTTGATGGTTATGATGAGGAGTCTGATGATGCTGATGATGGTGATGATGATGCTGATGATGATGATGGTGATGATGATGAGGATGATGGTGATGATGATGATGATGATGATGATGACGATGATTATGATGATGCTGCTGATGATGACGATGATGATGATGCTGATGATGATGATGCTGATGATGATGCTGATGCTGATGATGATGATGCTGATGATGCTGATGATGATGATGCTGCTGATGATGCTGATGATGATGATGATGATGATGATGATGATGATGATGATGATGATGATGATGATGATGATGATGATGATGATGATGATGGTGATGAGATGCTGATGATGATGATGATGATGATGATGATGATGATGATGCTGATGATGATGATGCTGATGATGATTGATGATGATGATGATGATGATGATGGTGGTGGTGGTGGTGGTGGTGGTGGTGGTGGTGGGAGGAGGAGGAGGAGGAGGAGGAGGAGGAGGAGGAAGAGGAAGAGGAAGAGGAGGAGGAGGAGGAGGAGGTGGAGGAGGAGGAGGAGGAGGAGGAGGAGGAGGAGGAGGAGGGAAAGGGCGAAAAGAAGGGCCAGACGCCTCTTGAATGCCTCTCGGAGTCTGCTCCCATGCCGTTTCGATTTTTTTCGGAGGCCTCTTGGGGCGTCTGGGGGGCATCTTGGCGGGCCCAGGGCCGTCTTTGAGCGTCTTGGGTGCCTCGGAGGTCGTCTTGAGGCCTCTTGGGGGTCTCTTGGGAGCCTCTTGGGGGCCCTTGGGGCGCCTCTTGGAGCCGCCCAGGTGCCTCTTGGGGCCCTCTCGGGGCGCTCTTGGGGGTTTTAGGGGCGTTCTTGGGGCTATCTGGGAAGACCTCGATCAGCAAAAGAGGTGAGCTTTGATCATTAGGCCCCCCCCCCCCCCTCGGGCGCCCCGCACATCGCCTCTTGGGGCGCTCTTGGCGCGAGCGCTCTTGGGCGCTCTGGGGGCCGTCTTGGGGCTCGCTTGGGCCCCTCTTGGGGCCCTCTTGGGCCATCTTGGAGCCACTTTGAGGCCTCGGGTGGCAATCGGAAGCGAGGCTCTCGGGCCACTTGGACACGTCTTAGAGCGGTCTTGAGGCTTCTAGGAGCGTATTGGGAGCCATCTAGAGCCATCCTGAGGCATCTTGAGCCATCTTGGAGGCCATATTGGACTCCCCGAGGCGCTCTGGGAGCCGTCTTGGGCCATCTTGGGCGCTCCAACGCGTCGCGGGGCGCCCCTGTCCAGGTTCAGAGGAGGGGGTTAGGGAGCGGGGGGCGAGGCCCCCGCCTCCGCCCGCAAGACGTCTCCCTCACTACCACCCGCCCTCCCGGAGCGCCACACATGCCGTGTGCGCCACGGGTGCTGCTGCTGCTTTTGCTTCTCCTCTTGCTCTCCCCCCCCCCTGCTGCTCTCCTCTCTCCTCCTTAGCCACGGGGCGACCTTCTCGCGCAAGTAAAAGTGTGCGCCACGGGTGCCAGGTGCACCAGGCACACTGGAGGCCAGGTGCGGCAGGTGCTCCACGTTTGAGCAATATGCCAGCACTCCCGCCGTCCCTGTCAGAGTCAGAGGTCGATGCGTGATGGCCGCGGGGCGCCCGCGCATGCTCCAGATGCGGAGGCAACGTGCAAATTTTGTATAGTTTGTTGACAGGGATGGTTGGCCTGCGCGCAGCGAGCAATGTTACAGCACCCCCGCCGTCCCGTTTCAAAAGCCAATGCAAAGTGATCGCGTGGCGCCCGCGCGCGCTCCAGATGTGGAGGCAAAGTGCATTCTGTATTGTTTTTTGATCGGGATGGTTGGTCTGCGCGCGGCGATCAATATGACGGCCCCCCCGCCGTCCCCGTCGAAAACCAATGCAGAGTGGTCGCGGGGCGCCCGCGCATGTTCCAGATGTGGAGGCAGAGTGTATTCTGGATAGTTTTTTGACAGGGATGGCGGTGGGAGGGGTGGGGTGGGGGGCGAGGGGGCATGTCTCGGGTTGGCCCACAGTCGGGTGAGGGAGGGGGTGTATATCAATAGGGAGCAGTGGTGGGCCCCTCCCCGAAGGGGAACAAGGGGGGCTGGAGGAGGAGCCTCTCTGGACCGCCCTGCGCCCAGAGGGCTGGTGGAATGGGGAGGCCATGCGCCCACCGCGGACCCCAGGAGACCCCACACAAAAAAAACATAAAAAATAATAAAAAAAAAAAAAATAAAAAAAAAAGAAAAAATAATGGGTCACTGACGGCGAGACCAACATCACCATGACGCCACAGGAGGCCACACGATACCATTGCAGGCCACATGGGGCCACTGGGCGCCCCGAGAGGCCCCAAGAGGCCATGGGAGACCACACGGGCCCATAGGGCGGCGCAGGAGCCCATGTGGGGCGGACAGTTCTTGTCCCCCACCCCCCAAACGTCCACATCCGAGGGGCCAGGGCTATGGGGGGGGGTACAGAGGAGCGCAGCCGGAGGAGGATGGTGCCATAGGGGTGGGGTGAAGCGCCGGCCCGCCGCAACCTCTTGAGCATCGCGGCTTGGGGTGCGCGAGCCCGCAGCATTTTACGTGAGATCGAGGCCCTGGGATCGTGGGCTCCCCGCAGTGGGCGACGGGTCGTGGCCTCTGGAGCGCAGGCCCGCTTTGCCATTCAGATGGTTGTGCTGTGGGGGGCGCGAGCCCACTGCAGGCTGCGCCGAATTGACGCCCCGAGGGCCCAGGTCCATCGTTTGTTCGGATGTTACAGCCGCGGGTGCGAACATCCGCAAAGGTTTACAAGGGACATTGGCTCTCGGGGCGCGAACTCGGCGCATGCAGACGCGCCCCATGGCACCAAGGGAGGCTGGGGTTACATCTTTCGGACGGGGGCTCAAATCCCCCTTGGGATGGGAGGCGCGCGACTTGAGACTAGGCCTTTCTTAGAGGTCTAGGCCGTGCGTCGTGCCTGGGCGACGGGATGCCGCGCGTTCTTCAGAATGTACTTGAGAGGTCAAGGGGGTGTGACGTTCGGGCATCCGCACCACGACAGCGAAAAAAGTAGGTTGTTGTGTTAGGGGCGTCTCTAATGTCGTGCAAATCGCCAGTCCCCAAACAATTCAAAAACAAGTTGGTAAGTTGCTAGAGACATGATTGTTCACAGCCTGGCGCCCCCCGAAAGTGGGCTGGGGGGTCGGGTGTTCCTATTGGCGGCTGGTCGATGATATCGGTGTCAGCGGCCAGCCGACATCAGTGACAGCTGGATGCACCCCATTGCGAGCGCGTAGACTCAGAGCAAACATCCGTTCCTCGTCCTCCTCCTCTTGATGCCCCCCCCCTCCATGCCGGGAGCGGGAGGGAAAGCAGGAGCAAACCTCTTCATCTTCCCCATCTTTTCGTTGTCGAACGTGGGTCGGCAAGCTCCCTGGTCACAATTGGCGATTTGGTAGTGCGGTATTTGGGGTATCATCCTGCAATCTCCATTTCCCGCCCCGCATCCTTCACGCCCGTACCTCTCCTTTACCTCTGGTCTACTCGCTGCACCTTCCTATAGTTATCCCTGCTGGCCCGTTCCCTGTCCTGTTCCTCCGCCTCCTGCCCCCCGTGTTCGCGCCGTCCCCGTGCCTGGCTGCGGGGACGGGGCGCCTCAGCTGCGCGTGTCGGGTTTCTGCTGTGTATGGGCAACTTTCTGCCCAAAGGTTGACAGTGGCTGCGCGCGTTGGTGCTGTGCGCGCGCCGGGTACGTCGAGATTTGCGGACCTTGTCGAAGTGAAGCGTGCGACACCTATCAATCTACATCGCGCGGGACAGCGTCTTCTCAGTGCGGCTGCTGACGCTCCGTGCAGAAGCAGAGGGGACATCGTTCCCCGAAGTCCAACAAAGCACCACACAACAAGCCGCCCCGCGAAAAGCGACCGATTCCCCTGACAACTCCCAAGAAATCCAGACGAATCGCCCCAGCATCATGCTCCACGCAACGCCCCAGAAAACAGCCGGCGCCCCTGCAGCTCAACACCGCCAACGACCACTCGGCCAGTCGACGCAGCAGTGCCCAAAAATGGGTCGGCGGAATGAGCGAAGCGATGGAATCATTTTGTCTTCGGGGAAGGCTTAGACAACTTGCCAGAAGACCAGGGAACTCCTGAGCCTTGTGAGAACGCCTCCTCCTTGCAGCTTCCCCTCCTCGCTCGCCGCCGCCCCACGCACTCCCTCCTCCCTCCTCCCGCCACCCTGCCCCCGGCACCGCCCTGGCCGGCTGCAGCTGCAAAAGGCCCCGCTGCAGGGGCGTGAGCCGAACTTCCCGCGCGGAGACTCGGCGTCGCCCCTTGGGGGGCGCGCAATGGGGGGGGCGATGTGTGAGGGGCAGCGACGGCTGCCGAAAGAGGGCGCGATTCCGGGAGATCCGACGCTCCCTCCAAGATGGAGCAGCCTGATTTTGGCCGTTTTCGGTCTGCGGGGGCTCTCGCCGTGCCTCGGCAGCGTCAAGAAACGAGTCGGGACGAAAAACCGGCCCCGGGGAAGTTGTCCGGACCTTCGGGGCCCACGCATCGAAAAAATCAGAGCGGCTGGATGTCTGGGGGGCAGCGAGGGCCGCCGCAGGAAGGCCCCTCGAGGGCCCCCAAAGGTGTTTTTCTCAGGAGGGAAAAAAACACACAAACACAATTAATCCTCGATTCCCAGGAAGATATGGGAAAATATGGGAATTGGGGGAGAAGACAAAAACCCAGCAAATATGGGAAAATATGGGGACTAATTTTATTTGTGTGTATTTATTTGTGTGTCCTAATTTCCCTTTATTTTCTTGGGCCCAGAAAGGGGGCCTTGAGGACCCGAGAAAGGCACCTGTCTTCCCCCCATGTATTCGCCCCCCCACTACGGTGGAGGCTTTGGTGAAGGAAGGAGTGGCCCAGGAGGCTGCAGACCCTGGTGGTGTCCTTGTCTGCTGGGGGCGGCGGTTGTACTCGTGGCCAGTCCACGATTGGAGTTCCCCTGGCTTCCAGACCCTGGATTCCTTGTCTGAGGGTTCCTTCTTTAATGCCCTCGCCGTACTTCGCGCCCACACCCTGGTTGCCCCTCGAGGGCGGCGATGGCCGCAGCCGAGGTCCGGCGCCCCCCGCCCGCGGCCCTCTGCGCCGCGGCCCTCGTGGCCGCGGTGCTCGCGGCCTCGCTGCCGACGGCGCTGTGGGCGCCGCCCCTGGCCGGGCGTCCTGGAGGAGCCTCGGGGGCCACCGCTAGGGGGGGGAGGGGCGGCCGAGAGGGGGGGGGGGGGACCATCCGGGCCTCCCAGATTCGGGTTGACCCCAAAGGGGGTCCAGCGACAAGGGGGTGGTGCAATAGATTTGTGGGGTTGCAATACATTTGGGTTGGGGAGTGCAACACATTCCGGTGTGCAAATGTATCGCTGGACATTCGTGTGCAACGCTTTACTTGCAATGCAATGCAATAAGTTCTCCAGCGCAGTACATTTGCAATACAATTGCCCCGAATATATGGCACCACCCCCTTTCAGCTGGACCCCCTTTTGGGTCACCCAAATAGATGGGGTCCGAGAAGATGGGGTCGGAGGATCGCGCTGCATCGCCGATGCGGCTCGATGCGGAGCCCGATCTTCTCCGCGCTGGCGTCGCCGATGCACCACCGACGTCGCCGATGCGTCGCCGATGCATGGCCGATGCATCGGCGATGCGGCGCGATCCTCCGACTCCATCTACTCGGACCCCACCTAGGAGGCCTCGAGACTAGGGGTGGGTGGATACCACGGCGGGGGCCATGATTAACGCTTTCCAGATTTCATGCCCCCCCTTCTTACTTCACTGCGTCCCCAGCCGCCCACCCCTTGCCCGCGCACATGCCGCTGGCCATGATTTGCGCACCCCCCTCCTCTTGGACGCCCCCCTCTTGGACGCCCCCGACGAGGGTGGGGGGGGGATTGGCTCAGGAGCCACGTTGGGAAACAGGTCGAGATGCGAGGTTCGAGGTGTTTTTCGGGCGTTTTCGCCGGTTCCTGGCGGTCATCCTGGCTTCAGGATGCTCTCTCTAGCAGCTGCTGCTCGCCGAGGCCGTTCGGTGGGTGCCCCGATCTTCCCGAGCGGCCGCCAGAGAGCATAACCCGAAAACGAGGGGCCACGCTAAGGGGCGCAGGGGCTCATCGGGGATGCGCGCATCCTGGGAGAGTGCGGGTTCGCCATCGGGGGCCTCTCCTGTTGCCGATATACTCTCGGCCATGTATTTCTAGGACTTCCAGATGGGGTCCGGGTAGATGGGGTAGGAGGATCGCGCCGCCGGCGGTGCTGCTCGACTTTCTCCACGCCGACGACGCCGGTGATGCATTGGCGATGCATCGGCGATGCGGCGCGATCCTCCGACCCCATCTGGGAGGCCTCCAGTAGCGACGACCAGGTCGATGTCTCCCCCCCTGCTTGGCATCGCTCGGACGCGCGCTTCTTTTGTGGCGACGCCAGCGCCAGAAAATCTGGACCATCGGTGGGGGTCTTGAAACTTCATGCGGAAAACAAGTGAGCGACGCAGAACACGGGGCCGTCTTCGCCGACATGGGCGCGTTTAAGCTGCTCGCGCAGGGCCACGCGCAGGCGCTCTCGCTTCCACTGCAGCGCGCCGCGCGGGCGACCCGCGTACGCCGCCGCGCGAGGTCGCTGCGCCATCTCGCGCACGACCCGTCCTGATCGTCGCTCACGGGACCGTGCGGAACCAACACATGCACGGAGACTGTCAGGAGGAAAAGAAGCACACAGACACAATTAATCGTCGATTCCCAGAAAATATGGGAAAATATGGGAAATGGGGGGGGAAGACAGAAACCCAGAAAATATATGAAAATATGGGGAATATTTTTATTTGTGTCTATTTATTTGTGTGTCCCAGTTCCCCTTCAGACTGGACGTCCTCTGCGATGGCAAGCCCGAGCCCGGTGCCCCCGTCGGGCTCCCCCCGCAGGAGCGGCGCCGCGGCCGCCGCCCGAGCAGGCCCACGACCCCTGCAGAGAGTACGACGGCCTCCTCGTCCTCGCCGTCGAGGTCTGCGAGCGAGGACGTCGGGGGAGGCAAGGGGGCGGATGCCGCCCCAGACCTGCTGGCGTCGTGGGCGAAAGCCACGACGGGAGGTCTCCAGCCGAGTTCGGCCTCCAGGGCCCTCGCCAGGGCCCTGGCACCGTCGAGAGACGGCTCGCGATGCCAAGCCAGCCCCGGGGAAAGGGCCGGCACTTCTGACCCAGTATTCAAACAAATTCTTGACGCGTCGCGTGCCCCCACCAGCCCATGCAAAACCGACGCCCAGGCGAGTTGAGACGATCATGGAAGCATAGGAACAAAAGGAGGAGGAGGAGGAGGAGGAGGCGGAGGAGGAGTTGGAGGAGTTGGAGGAGTTGGAGGAGTTGGAGGAGGAGGAGGAGGAGGAGGAGGAGGAGGAGGAGGATAATGAATAGACGGAAGATGAGGAGGAGGAGGAGGAGGAGGAGGAGGAGGAGGAGGAGGAGGAGGAGGGCGAGCAGAAGGATTTGAGGCGAGGGAGGAGGAGGAGGAGGAGGAGTAAGCGGATGAGGAGGAGGAGGAGGAGGAGGAGGAGGAGGAGGAGGCGGGAAAGGGCGAACAGAAGAGCTGGAAGCCTCTTGAATGCCTCTCGGAGTCTCTTCAGATGTCACTCGGAAGCTTTTTGGAGGCCTCTTGAGTCGTCTTGGGGGGCATCTTGGCAGGCCCAGGTCTGTCGTTGAGCGTCATGGTTGCCTCGGGGATCCTCTTGAGGCCTCTTGAGGGTCTCTTAGGAGCCTCTTGGAGGCCCTTTGGGCGCCTCTTAGTGGGCGCCTCTTGCCTCCCTCTTGGGACGCTCTTGGGAGCTCCAGGGGCGCTCTTGGAGCCATCTTGGGGAGGACATCGGTGCAAAAAGAGATGGCCTTATAGAGTGCCTAACATCGCATCTTGGGGCGCTCTTGGAGCGCCCTTGGGCGATCTTGGGGCCATCTTGGGGCTCCCTTTGGCCCCTCTCGGGACCATCTTGGAGCCATCTTGCGGCCTCGGATGGCCATCGGAAGCGAACAGGCAATAACCCAAACACACTGATGTTAAAGAGTTGGTTGAAGGATGTTGGTCTCTTGGGGCCTCCTTGGGAAGCTTTTTGGCCCTAAGTGCAAGGGGGCCGCATGCGTATCTTTCGCAGAGGCCCAGCGATTTTGTCCACAGCAGTGGCCCGCCTCCGATGCGCTTATCCTTATCCTTATCTATCCTCCTCCTCATCCCGCTCCTCCTCCTCCTGCTCCTCCTGCTCCTCTTCGTCCCCCTCCTCCTCCTCCTGCTCCTTCCGTAGCCTTTATGGTTCAAGCCGCATGTTGCCAGGCAGGGAACCCGCGCGCGCCCCCGACGCGTCAGCATGCAGTGGCGCGCGCCGTTGCCTTCTGGGTGACTCCTGCAAGTGCTCATAATCGAGGGCAGACAAAAACGCCCCTACCCTGGTTTACGCGGCGCTGTGCGCTGAAACTCCTGTGGGCTGACAGGGGAAACCCTGCGTGATGTGCCGCGTCCTGGCGGCTCTAGGCTTTGGGGGTTCCCAGGAGGTTTACAGACCACGCACTTGTAATCCAGGAGGTTTACAGACCACGCACGCACGCATCTCTCAACATAAGCTGTCCTACTATTTCTGGCACGGTGCATTGCCGCTCCCCTGACAAACTGCAACGGCGTCGTGGTCGAGCGCGCGCCAGTGGCTACGTCGAGGATTGCCCCTCGGGGGTGTCTCGCTTGCTCGTCCTGGCTTACCTGCACCCGAACCTCAAGCGCATGGAGAAGGGTTTCGTGGCGCATGCGCAGCTGCAGGCGTTCACAGGGATCCCCACTTGTAGTCTTCGTGGTCCCATTGCTCATGCTGGTGCGCTCTACGGCGGCGGCTCCATCAAACAGCTGCGCTCGATCAATATTCTTTCGGGGCGGGCCGAACATCCTGTTCCTCCTCAGCTGGCTCTCGCGCCTTCGGTGAAGGGCGTTCGAGTCGGTTCCAAGGCGCAGCTCTTTTTCCCATCCGTGGTGCCTCGTCCTATGGGCAGCACCCTGACGGTGGTTGCGAACATGCCTTCGGCTGCCTCGCACAACCTGCAGTCGCTGCCCTTTGTCTTCCACCAGCTGCGCTGCCCGCCTGCTTCACCCAGCCTGTGATCTACCCGATCGCGGCGTGCGATGGCCCCGACATCCAGCAAGTGTCGCGCTCCATCGGCGAGCTGAGTTCGCAAAGGACTTCTTCTCCTTTGTTCTGCTCTACTTCGCCGCCTGGCGTGGTCGATGACGCGCACTCTGTCTCATCACATTGACTCCGTTTGCCATGTCGCCCCTTTCGAGGACCGCGCTGCTTGCGAGTTGCGTATTCCAACACCATAATTTCCCATGGATGTCGGTATGGATATGGGCGCAAGTTCTTTGTTTTTTTGGAGGTGACCGACGCGTCCATTTTTTTCGAGCACAAGCGATTGGCTATGCTCCGAGTACGATTCGTCGACATTGGTGACTGCGGCTCTGTGGCTTGCCCGCGATGCTGGCCGTTGTGCTCTTATTCTTGCGGCGGCGTTGCGAGCGAATCCTGAAGCGAGTCTTGCTACGGCTGGAGTTTTTTCTCACGGCATCCTGCACGATCTGCGTGGTAATGATGTTCTGTGTTATGCTGCCGGCGCCAGTGGCCCGCTGCTCTTTTATGAGACCTTCCGGAGGCGTTTGGTGCCAGACGATTCCGAGGACGACATCGACCTGAGCCACGCGGTGCTCCCGGCCTGAGCTGGCGCAGGATGGCAACTTGAGCTGCTGGTGCAGTCCACGGCTTCCGTGGCAGAGCCGGCAGAGCGCATGGCATCCTGCCAGGAGCCTCCACCTCGACCCGCGCAGGGCGACGCTGATAGAGCTGGAGAGCGGCGCGGTGCTGTGCAGGCCGCTGCGTGCGCCGCGTGGAGCGCATGACGAGGTGCAGCCTGGCTCCTGCCCCTCGAAGCTGCTGTTCACGGTTCCGTCCTCGGCGTGGCTCTTCTCGAAGGCCGTCGTTGACGGTGCTCTTCGTGGTGGTGCAGTCATTCTCCTCGACTGTGCCGGTATCCCGCGCGTGATGAGGCTGCTCCCCATTCGCCGTCTTTGCGGCGTTCAGAGCTTCCCCACATGCGCCGCTACACCTTAGGCGATGCTTAAGAAAACTTACGTTTTCGGCCAGAGTCTCGATTATTCTTAATGTTTCAACGTAAATCCCAAGATTTAAATAGAAACGTGGGGTTTTTATTCAAGTTCTGAGACAATGAATTTCTTAACCCATGATTTCTTAACCATTTCGCAGGGTGTATAGTACGTCTCTGGCCGATCTCGCAGCTATCCTGGCCAGGCGAGCGCCTGCGGCTCGTTGTCTGATGCGGCCTCGCCTCCCGCGGCGTCGCGCGCGGCTCGGCCCGGCGAGAGCGGCTACGACGACGGCGCAGACGCGGTCCGCGCCACAACATTGGGCGCGAGCTTCCCTGATGACTTCCCGAATCTTTCGGGCGTGTGTCTTGTACAACCTGGAGCCCAGCATCGTAGTGGTCAGCATCGTGGGGGTTTTCGTTGCGCTCCCAACGCCACTTGAGCCGAGCGCCATTCTTTTGATGGTGACCTTGAGGTCGACCCACACGATGGACAACGTGACAGTGGCGACCCCGACAGTGACAGGACAGAGCGATGATGCCTTCGTCGCTTTTCTGAGCGAAGTTAGCGGCGACGTGATGGCAGGTGGGGAATGTGTTTATGACCCTGGGGGCAGCGGCCACTTGGCTGAGCGTGTGCTGCGCGATGCTGAATGGGCGCTGGCGAGAGACTCCGTTCGTGGACCTGCTGACGATGGGGATAGCTAAGGCCAGCGCGGTGACCTTCTGCCTTGAGCGGCGCGCGCGCCATGGGGGCCACGCCGTGCAACCTCGGGACTGGGCAGCGCAGGGGGGCCCCTCTGGTTTGACCATCTGCTAATTTCCAGCTCCGCTGCCGCAGCGTGGCTCCTCCTGTGCGTGCCGACCTCCCGTCGCTCGACGGCGCAGCTCGTCAGCGGCCCTGCGGACGCGAGTCGACGTTCGCGAGCTCCTGACGGAGTGGGCGGATGGCTCGCGGCAGCCGAGGGCGCAGCGCGGGGGGTGGCCGCTGGGCGTCCTCAGCGCCGCTGGCCGGACGTCGCAGGGAGCGCGGGAGCTTCTGTGGATGGCCGCCGCCGGGAGATGCCGCAAAGCGACGCGGCGCCGCGGGGCGCCCCTCGCGAAATCTGCCTTGCCCCCCCAAGATGATCGACGACGGCGCGGAACAACGGGGTGGGTGCGGAGGGCCGCGGGGCAGGCGAGGGCAGAGGTGCCGCGGTCGGCCGAGGCGGCGAGGGGGTTGGGTCCTGGGGGCCATCCGACGCGCTGCCCTCTCCCCCGGGGCCGGCCCAAGTCATCGCGCCCGACGCGCGCGAGGAGCTGGCGGCCCTGGTAGAGGCGGCCAGCGACGCAGAAGGAGCATTCATCTACGTGGAGCTGGCGGCAAGAGAGCCCATCGCACAGCAGGCGCCAACAGCTAGGCAGAGCTGGCAATGGGCGGTGGCGAGCCAGGCTCCGCTGGGGAAGCTCGACGCCGAGTTCGAGATTCTCGAGGGGTGGGCATCGAGCCAATGAGACCTCCTCCTACGCGCTGGCAGACCTCGAGGGCCAGCGGGGGAAGGCTGACAAGGACGCCCTGGAGGAGGTCCAGGGCAATCGCGCAGCAAGGAGCAAACTGGCGGCGACGCCGACCTTGCCCGCCATCGGCATCCCCGAGCTGATGTGGGGCGCGGTGGAGCTCGAGAGAATCTTCGCCGTGGGCGGCTTTCTTGGCGCAGACGATGTTGCGCTGGACGCGGCTGGGATACTATCGGCCTGGACGCGTTCGAGAAGCGCAGGACCGACCCGAGCAAATGCATCCACGCGGCGCCCCAGAAATAACACTTTCAAGGCGGCGCTTGACCGCGCCAGGTCAACCGAGGGGCCCTGGCCAAAAAACACGTGGCACGCCTTGACGGCAATGCAAGAAATGCCACCACTGGAGGAGTTGCACCGGGAGGAGTTGACATTCCAGTGCTTGGACGAGCGAGAGCAGCAGCTGAGCCGCCCGCAGCAACAGCGGGAGCCTAACGTAAGGTCGAGGAGTTCAACGTCCGCGACAGGCTGGCAGCAGACAGGGGCGTCAATGGCGTGGGGGCTGCGGTGGCCGAGCCTCCTCTCTAGCCCTGGCGCGGCAGCCGGCGCGCGGTCAACGTCGGCCCTGCCGTCGGCAGGTGAGGCGCTCGCCGCCCCGGCGGGGGCTGAGGCCGCGTCGTGGAAGGAACTGCCGTAGGCTGGCATGTGCAAGAGACCCAGCACCGCGTCGCGGGGCCCCGCGTTGCCGAATCGCCTGGAGGGCAAGCAGGGCGCGCCGCGCGCGGTGGGCCCTCCACGCGGGGCGGGTGCGGCGCCCGGGGGGCGCCCGGCTACTTGCCTCAGCAGCTCTGGAGTCTGGCGCGGGGTCAACCGAGGAGGCAGAGAGTCACCACCCACCAAACCACCCCAACCCAACCCGAAGGCTCAGATTTACCCTCGATTTCTAGTGGGGGGGGGGGGTCCGGGAACATCGAAAAAACACATATCGAACCCATACCCCCCCCAACCCGAAATTCGGGTCTTCGGGTTGGGTTGGTGTGGTCTGGTAGGTAGTCAGAGAGTGCGTCGCGCGCGGCGCGGAGTCGGCCTTGGCTCACCCCTGGGCCACAGTCGTTTTTGTTGGCCTTGCCTGAATACGCGGAGAGGATTCCAGAAGGGGGCGGGCAGCTCAGCGAGTGGAGGCAGTGTCTGGGCCTCCCAGATGGGGGTCGGAGTAGATGGGGTCGGAAGATCACGCCGCATCGCCGATGCATCGACGATGCGGCTCGATGCGAAGCCCGACGATCGCCACGCCGACATCGCCGATGTATTGCCGATGTTGCCGATGCATCGCTGATGCATCGGCGCCGATGTATCGGCGATGCGGTGCGATCTTCTGACCCCATCTAGACCGACCCCATCCAGGAGACCTCTACCGTGGGCGGAGTGGATCGCTGTCGGTGTTCCAGCACCAGGGCGCGGCCATCGCGGTCGCGGTCCTCCCTCGACGTTCTGCAGACCCATTGAGAAGGGCGCTCGCGGTGGGCCAGGGGGGATATCTACGAAGGCACGCGCGGCCACATCATTGAAGCCACCTTGCGCAGCAAGATCGCGGGCATACTTCGGAACTGTAAGCGAATCAATTGCCGCGACATCAATGGTCGGGGAAGGAAGTGCAAATGCGCCTTGACAGGCCCTTGGAAGAAGCCAGCGCTGCGGTGCTAGCATCTCGGTGCAGAGAGGTATCCCAACGGCGGTGCTCGATGCCAATGGTGCGGCTGACACGTTAGTTGGATATGAAGTTGGGAACTTCGAGCTACCAGTGGACATTTCAAGCGCATGTTTACGTCTATAAGGAGGTCGAGGCGGTGTGCCTGAAAGCAGTCTGTCTAAGAATCGCGTGCACTACGGCCGGCGTGGCCGAAAGGGTGCTCTTTCAAAACTAAGAAATTTAGAATTTCAATCGGGGTAGCGCGTTTCAGCCAGGTGTGTGGCGAGTCCCCGCACACAGCAAGTACAGTGGAAACCCATGTCAAGAAACACGCTGCCTGCCTCCAGGGTGCCCTAGGTTTCTTGGGTTTCGAGGCGAAACGCGCCGCACCACCTTGCACGCGGCGTCTCGGAGCCCAGACTTGAGAGGATGTCTCAGGCGGAACGCGCCGGACCGCCTCTCGCGCGGCATCTCGGAGCCCAGAGTCCCGATGATGTCTCATGCGAAACGCACGGGACCACCTCGCGCGCGGCACGTCGCAAGTCGGAGCACAGAATTGGGAGGATTCTTCAAGCGAAGCAAGCCGAACCACTTCGCGCGTGGCATCTTAGAGCTCAGAATTGCGCGGATGTCTCAGGCGAAACGCGCTGGACCACCTCACGGGCGTCATCTCGGAGCCCAGGGTCCCGAGAATTTTTCATGCGAAACGCGCCAGACCACCTCGCGCGCAGCATGTCGCATATCGGAGCCCAGAGATGTGAGGATGTCTCAGACGAAACGCCCAATCGAGGCCAGCTGAACACGTGAGCTCTGAGGATGTCCCAGGCGAGAAAGCCCGGACCACGAAATGTTCTTCAGGATGTCTCTGTGCGCCCGTCCGTCGACCAGAACGAGTGACGATCGCAAGAGTGCCCAGTGCCCCTGTCCGCAAGCTGTTTGGAGATACATTCGACGACGACGGCGACGACAACGCCGAAGGCGCAAGCCGATCTAGAGCAGGATGACGCGCGAACCTGTCTCAGGGCCACCTTGGCTGAAAAGGCGCTGTTTGGAGATACTGGACCCTGGCTAGAATTCACGACGCTGTAATTTTTCGAAGCGTCGGAGGAGGAAGAGATGTATATCCCTCGTTGCCCCCGCTGGATTCGCCTGGAAGTCATGGCCATGACGCTTCCCGATCCCCCCGGTGATCCTCGTCGCCCGGCCTTCGGGTCATACTTCGGGTCTCTTGCGGCCGTTGGGGGCGATCCAGGCACCCGCGGAGCGCCCTCGGCGAAGGGCGGCTGCCGGAAGGCATTCCGCGGCTGGAAAGCTGCCCAGAACCGACGAGCACTGCCGAACGCCCAGGATCCCTAGAACTCGTCCCTGAACCAGTTCACCCTCCTCTGTTCAGGAGGGGAAAAAAACACAGACACATGGGAAAATATGGGAATTGGGCGGGAAAACAAAAACCCAGAAAATATGGAAAAATATGGGGCGTCTTTTCGTTTGTGTGTATTCATTTGTGTGTCCTGGGGCCCCTTCATCTGTTTGGTTCTCCTGGACGTCGCGCGCGGCGAGCACAAATCTCCGTCTCCGCGCCCCCGCGGTCTTGTTCCCAGGGCACGCTCCTGCGGGTACGCGTAGCTTCCGCGCGGGGCGATACGTCCCGCGCGGGGCATGCGCGAAACAAAAGCGCACCGTATGCGCGGGGTCGCGGCCCAGGGAGCTTGGTCCGCGAGGCCGCGGAGAGCGACATGTTTTCCGCCTACCAGGCGGTTCCGCACAAACGTGTCGCTCGCCGACGGGGCGCTCGCTCAGGCTTAGCCTCCGC